GGTGCGGGCAGCCGTGTGTCTGCATGTGGGAAGTACGCAGACCTCTGCCGCCAGCGTACCGCAAGAGCAGCAACAACAACAACAATTATTGGTACTACTACTGTTAATGCTAATGATGGACGGCCAAAGGCGGTGATGGCTTATTGGGGTATGGGTAGTTGGGGTTCTGTAAAAGTAGAACAGGATACGCATTCTGTTGTAAATAACAGGGATCAACTGGCGAACAACAAACTCACTGAACCTGAAAACCACATAAGGGATACTCTTGGCGCTCTGAGAAATGGAGAAGGAAGAGGACAGCAAGAGACCAATGGACAAACGTCTGGTGTACACCCACAAGATGGTCGTGCAGACGTTCAGGAGCCACGCAATGATATTCCTTCGGAACAAGGTGCAATACATGGTGTTAAAGGAGAGGTACCAGAATCAGGAACAAGTACAGTGACTGAAGAAACAGGAGTGAGTTCTACTACACAAGGTAATCAAGGAGTTTCAAACACCAACCAGTCTGGTGCACCTGTTGCAACAGAAAGCCAATCTCAACAGTCTAATGCAGCTACAATGGATAACCAAGAATCATCGGATAACACAGCTGATAACAGTACAATGGCCACCAGTACCACAAATGGGACAGCATCGACTAACGATAGTTCAGGTAACAGTGTGACTGCCGCACCAGACTCACAAGAAACCAATTCCACTACTCCGGCGAGCACCGAGAACACTGTCGAAGCACCAACTACAACCCCATCTTCTGTACCTATACCCGACACAGAGATCACCACTGTTGCCTCCATCGCACAGAAGAAGGCCAATGTTGACAGCAGTATCAGTCCTGTGTGGATGCGCACTGCAGCACCGCTGCTGATTGTGGCTGTGTTGCTCTCCGTTACCGTGTGCTGAACGGTTGGTCTCACTTGAGAGCAAATAATAATAATAATGGTTAAACTAAGATGAACATAATTGCTTATTTCCCCATGGGTGAATAAACTAATAATCCGTTTACCAGCTTTCTCTTTTAATTGGAATTTCTTTTCTTTTTCTTTTGTGTGTGTGTGTTCTTTTTTTAATAATTTCATTACTTGCTTTTCCCGTTGTGTGTGTTTTTGCTCTCTCTGTGTTTATCCTATAATTATTATTATTGCTACTCCATTATGTGTGTGTGTTCTTGGAGACTCTCTGTGTGTGTGCCTGGGCTTGCACTGTAATGATAATGAACTGCTTTTTGCAGTGAGAGGAAAAAGAAATAATAATAACAGATGAATTTATATTTATAATTGCGTATACATACATATATAGACTTACACCCATAGTTGGTGTGTATTTCTGTATTTACTGTGTTAATTGGGCGAATGGTTAATTTTTGTTTTGTTTGCATTATGTGCTTGGGCGTTGTGTGCTTTGTCATGCAGTTTGTTGATGTCCTTTTTCGTGCTGATGGAAGGATTATCCGTGTTAAGCAAATATATTGATAATTGCACATTAACTCACACATAATCGTGGTTCTCTGGGTTGTGTGTTTGAGGAGGCCGTTCGTTGTGCTATTAATTACTTTTTTTTACTTATTATTGTTATTGGGTTTTTTTTTTGTTTGGTTCTTTATTGAATTTTTTTTTGTTTTTGGTGTCAGTCTTGTTGTTTATGACTGTTGCTATTCTTGTTTTGTTTTAACCTTTCTTTCTCTCTGATGTACTGGATCACTTACTTCTTTGCCGTTTTCTGTTCATCTTTTTGTAGCCAAGTGAAATTGAACAATTAAAATTAATTCTTGCTTATGATGCTTATGCGACCAGACTTTTGTTTGCTGGTTTTTCTGCTAATTGTTGCTTCTGTATGCGTGTCAGCTAACACGACTTCTTCTCCTGAAGGTGATATTCTTACTCCTCGTAGTCGAGGAGGTGTTCCTGTTCCTAAGGAACAGTCAGGTACTCTTCGTATTGAAGTAATCGATCCTCCAGAGGATGATGTTCCCAATCCTCCTCGAGTGGACGGTGCTGGAGGAGATCGTGATGCAGTTGTTGTTTCCCGGCAAGAACAGCAATTGGTGAGAACAAGTAAAGAATATCGACCACAAGAGGAGAGCACTGAAGGTGGAATGAAGACAGATAAAGCGAACACTGATGATGCTCCTGAGAAATTAACGCCCACCGTTGATGCTCAGCCCACACCGACACAGATCACAGATCCAAAATCAAAAGAACAACAAGGAGAAATGAACCCTACTTTGCCACAAGAACAGAAACCCAACGAGTCCCAGGACCCTCAGGAAAGAGACATTCCATCTGATCCCAACAGCTTATCCAACACAAATACAGTCCCCAAGGAAACTGCGGATTCAGGGGCCTCTTCTACCACACCTTCACCACAGACAAGTGCGGATACAACTGCATCTGATGGCACTCCTGGTAACTCAAGCCAAGAAGATATTAAGAATGTTGAGGCCAACGGTACTGAGTCTCCAGAAACAACAACGAATACATCAGAAAGCATAAACACTGACACTCCCAATACAACCAATAATAATGAGGAATCACCCACTACTCCATCTCCTGTAGCCAACGCAGAGATCACCACTATTGCTTCCGCAGTACAGACGAACAAGCCCATTGCTGACAGCAGTATCAGTCCTGTGTGGATGCGCACTGCAGTACCACTACTGATTGTGGCTGTAGTGGTATTCGTTACCATGTACTGAACGGTGGGACTCATCTGAGAGCAAATAATAATAGTGGTTATCCTAACATAATCATAATTGCGTACATCCACCCCATGGGTGAAATAAACTAATAATCTGTTTACCAGCTTTCTCTTTTAATTGGAATTTCTTTTCTTTTACTTTTATGTGCGTGTGTTCTTTTTCTAATAATTTCCATTACTTGCTTTTTCCGTTGTGTGTGTGTATAGAAAACTGGGCTGTTCTGCTCACTGACGGTATACATCTCTTGCTAGTACACACAGATGTGTGTGTGCAGAGTAATTTAATACATAAACTAGAGCCATGGGGTATTGTGTGTGTGTTTGGCTCTCTCTCTTATTTGGGTATTGGGGCGTGTTTTTTTTTTCTATTAATGGATACATATTAATATTATACAAGCGGGCTATTCTTTTTTCTTGCTTTACTGTGCTGTTACTGCTTTTCTCTCTTTTCCACTGTGAGTATTTGTGTCCTGTATCCACTCTCTATGTCTCTCACCTTTTTCCCTCTTTGCTGTATTAGTCTATTGAAGTAATCATCAACAATGACAAAGGCTGTAATGGTAAGGTGTTACCTTCTCTGTTTACTAACTCTTGCACTCTGTTGTGCTTCTGGGTTGGTATGGGCTGATGATCCTAAAGCTTCTGAGTCCAGTAAATGTGTTCCTTACGTTGGCCTTCCTCCTTTTTTTTTTAGAAATCCTGCTTGCAATAATTCTGGTAATACTCCTAAGTATGGTCCAACCTCGAAACCTCTCTCAAGTGTCATGCCACATTTGAAACCTGGTGCTCAAGGAGCTGATCGTGTTATTACGAATCCTCATCAAGAGCAACATTTATCCCGGGGAGATCAGACAGAGGTAACAGTTAATTCTCAAATTAACGATGGAAAAGGAACTCAGGTTGCTCAACAAACCTTAAAAGAAGAAGGCACCCCATCAGGTACTCCGGGGCACAATAAACCTGATAGTAACCCTAAGTCTAAAGACGGCCAGGATATAAAACCAACGGAAGAGCATCTCCCTCCAGGTTCTGCTGCAGTTCCTGATGGACAACAGTCAGGTGAAGGTACAGCTGAATTAACACAATCCAGTGAACAGAACCCAACAGTCTCAGCCTCTGCAACTAACAGTGACGACCATAGGAGTCCACATGAGAACACATCACCACTGCAAGAACAAGAAGAAGGAGGTGCACCCACTCAGGATTCACAAGTTACAACCAACACCGATGACTCACAAGAGTCAGGGAACACACACTCACCAACGAACACGAAGAACGCTAATACACCCACTAAAGAGGAATCAACCACCACCATTCCATCTCCTTTACCTAACGAAGATATGAGCAGCAACATCGCTTCCACTATGCAGAAGAAAAGTAATGTTGACAGCAGTATCAGTCCTGTGTGGATGCGCACTGCAGCACCGCTACTGATTGTGGTTGTGTTGTTCTCTGCCACTGTGTACTGAACAGTGGGACTCATCTGAGGACAAATAATAATAATAATAATGGTTAAACTAACATAATCATAATTGCGTACATCCACCCCATGGGTGAATGAAGTAATAATCTGTTTACCAGCTTTCTCTTCTAATTGGAATATCTTTTCTTTGCTTCTATGTGTGTGTGTGTTCTTTTTTCTCATAATTCCATTACTTGCTTTTCCCGTTGTGTGTTTGCAGAAAACTGGGCTGTTCTGCTCACTGACGGTATACATCTCTTGCTAGTACACACAGATGTGTGTGTGCAGTAATTTAA